AAAGGGTGGGAAAAAATAAAAATAAAAACTATAGCGAAGTACCCCATCAATCATCCATGTAGGTCTTTGAAGTGCACAAAAGTTCACATTGGACCAACACTTATCAGGACGGTTTTAGGTCGGTTTTTTTTAATATCGGCTCCCAACTCCGGCCCTAATTTATAGTACCATCACCCCCGTCCTTGCTATCTTAAAGAAACCGTTTTGCTTTAACCTAATCTTGAAACCATGCAAGGCAGGAAAATATGTTTCAACACTAAAGATTATGAGATATAAAACTTTTAGTGGTACAGAGGCCGCTTTTATGGTATGCAGTTTTGCTAGATTCAATTATCAAAAACAAATAATGTTACCTTCAAAATAAACTTTTGTTAGAATCCAGTGCCACTTCCCGGCTAAGAAAACAATGAGAAAAATAACAAATCCGTTATAATCTTAAATCTAGTGATATAGAAAGTATTTATTTCTCATGATTTCTATTGTTCCTATTCCACCTAAATACATATTTGGTCGGAGTTTAAGCGGATTAAATATTAGGGACCCATTATTGTCCCATTAAAAAGTGGAGGGTCAATTATCTTTCTTTACCTACATCTTGCCAATTTAAGCCCCATAAAATGGCAGGTCACATATCCATAATTGTGACTAATATATTTAGCTCAGTTCAACTCTCACAAAGTTATGAATAGTACTTATTGATACCCAAAAAAATAGGGGTTTTTTTAAAAGGAGACAAATATCCTTAAAATATATAAATCTGAATTTATACTCCTTACTCTTAATTAATATTCTTTTTAATTATATAATAATTATAGTCAAAAGGGTATTAATCAAAAGTAAAAAATACAAACTCATACATTTTAAGAGTAAGTTCAACAATTTTCTCTCTTTTTTTTTTTTTTTTTTTTTTTGCTTCTCTAAGCCGAAAAATAGGGGTTTGTTGGGCCCCTGATGGGCATATCCTTGAAGAACCCCAATAGCTATATTTATTCGTTATATTTCTAGGAAGGGGAATGGTGTCTGGTGAGGCTCACATGTTGGCCTCCATTGCTATTGTTACCGTTCCTCTATTTTTTTGGTTAGTTAAAAAATAGTTGTTTTGTACTCTATAAGGATTTTTGTGTGTTTTTTTTTTTTTTTTAGAGGAAACTTTGTAAGGGTTTTTTGTAGTTTAATGAGTTTTCAATCCGCATTTTGAGCCTTTTTTTTCCCCTCAAAACCGCTAAATGAGAGAAAAAGAGTTTTAAAATGTAAAATAGAAATAAATTGTATTAGCTCGATCCCAAACTTAAGTTTATTGGTCAAAAGATCAGTTAGGACTTAACAGCCTTTAAGGAGATAAGCTAACCGAACCAAACGATTATGGGTGGTTCCATTCAGTTTCAAACCTCCGCTTTGGGCCCTTTATTCGGTCTAGCTTTTGGGTCGAATACTAACCTTTTATTTTTGAGAAAATACACCAAATAGCACATTTAAAATTCACTTTTAAAGTAAATAATATATATTTTAAATCATAGTAAATTATAACACATTCTCATTTTCCTTTCAAACAGAAATGTTTAATTCCAATTTTACCTTTTTAGTTTTTTCTCTCTCTCTCTCCCTCTCTCTCTCTCAGATTGTTTTTTAGGTTTATTTCCAATTCTCTCTCTCTCCCCCCGAAACTCATATGCAGCCACGACCAGCGACGGTGGCAGCTTCCAATGACCGACGATAGTCACCGCATGAGGAAATCTCCGGTGAGGTTCTCTTACAATTCCGCTATGCCGCGTGCACAGAACCCCGACGAGGCCTAGGTGGCGGGGTCTAGGTTACTGGGAAGAAGAGTGCTGTTGGGGTTGATTTTAGGGTTAGGGTTAGGGTTATGACTTTAATTTAGGGGTTTTTGGTCCCATGCTTCCGTTTTTGGCTTCGCATTGTCATATTTATTTTAATCTAGTGTGCGGGCATGTTTATTGCAGAAAAGCTAGACTTTGGTTTTTTGAAAGTTTATTTTGACATATGAGAGCCCGTTTAGTTCGTTGATTCGAGTTGAGATGTGACTTTACGTGAAATATTTTTACTGTAGCAAAAAAGTTAAATGTGATTGTTTCTGAGAACTTTTTTCTATAGCAAAACTCGAATTGGTGAAATGAACGAGCCCTGAGTTTGTCATTTTGGATGAGTTTGTGATTCTTTCAATCTAAGTTTGTTTTTTTTAGAATTGTGTGAGTTAGTTATTTTCTGTAAATCCAAGTTTGTGATTTTTCAGATTCGTTTGAGTATGTGATTTTTGTATATTTGAGTTCGTTGTCTCCTCGTTTTCAATATGTTGAGGGACCTTTGCTTTTCATGATCTTGTAAATAATGTATTACCAGTAAATATTTCACTGAATTCAATTTCTAATTTGATAAATATTGTATTTATCTGCAAATACTTCACTGAATCTAATTCTTGATCTGATAAATATTTCACTGAATTCAATTTCTAATTTGATAAATATTGTATTTATCAGTAAATACTTCACTGAATCTAATTCTTGATCTGGTAAATATTTCACTGAATTCAATTTCTAATTTGATAAATACTGTATTTATAAGTAAATACTTCACTGAATCTAATTCTTGATCTGGTAAATATTGTTTTACCAGTAAATTTTTTATTGAATTTGAGTTTGAATCAAGTAAAGAATTTATTTACCAGTAAATACTTCACTGAATAAGTTTGAATCTGGTAAATACAATATGGTAAATATGGTATTTACTAATAAATATAGTATTTACAATAGCCACTAGAGTCGGTGGCGGGATCTTCTGATAAATATGATATTTACTGGTAAATACGATATTTATCGGTAAATACAGTGTTAAACGGTCGCCGGAGTTAGTGATCAAATTTTTGAATAAATATGATGTTACTCATAAATACAGTATTTACTGGTAAATACAGTGTTAAACGGTCACGGAATCAGGGTCTGAATTTTCGGATAAATATGATATTTACTAGTAAATACGATATTTACTGGTAAATACAGTGTTAAACAGTCACCGAAATTGCTGGCTGAATTTTTAGATAAATATAATATTTACTGGTAAATACGATATTTACCTATAAATACAGCGTTAAACAGTCATCGGTCGCTAGAAAATGGTCACACATATTAGAAAATGGTCTCTAACTGCCGGTCCGAGCTACGGTGGACTTAACTATAATCTACTAATTTTAAAAAATATGCTATAATTTGCTATTTTTTTAAAAAAAAATAGATGTTTAGGGGGATGAGTGAGGTGGAAAATGAGGTTTAAGGGTATTTTTGAGTTTTTAATAATGTTTAAAACTTAAAATATCAAATTATGCTATAATTTACTATTTTTAAAAAATATGTTAAAATTTACTAATCGCTTTACCAATTATGTTATTTCTCTCCTTATCCCTTTATTTTTGGGTTGTTTTACACATATAAAATAAGTCATTTTTCAGCTTGAGTAAAATAAATTAGAAATCTATTATCTATTATAATAACTAATCCAGCGAGAACCCTCGCCAATACCAAAAAATGAATTATGTAATGTACTTTATTTGCTGAATTAAGAGTAGACATTTTATCAGAAGTTTCTCTTGTATCAATCTACCCTTGTGTGATTCTTATTGAAGCATAACCCGAGAGGTGGGTGTAAGGCAGATAATTTTAAACCGGACTCTCCATTCATTAAGAAAATCTTTGTAAACAAGCCTATTTTTGAAATCATTAAAAGTAAATAGGTTATTTACCAATCATTAAAAATTAATAGTCCATTTTTAGTTTCGAATATTTTACTTTTCAAGTCTACCCTCATCATAATTTTCATTTTCAATTTCCATTTTACTTTCCAAGTCTACCCTTATAATAGTCCATTTTTGGGCCAGGGCTTGATTGCTGAATATAATCAATTAATATGAAGGACTTTTTTGTCTTTCACTCTTATCAATTTTAAAACCAGCTACATCACTAACTTTAAAAACAAATTGTCAACTACTTATAAATTGGTTACTAAACCGGCCTTCTATGTGCAAACCCCTCTCTAGGTAGCTACCAATAGAAACATAATTATTAAAAAATCATTTATATATAATCAAAATATGAATTAATTATAATTTTTTTTAAATTATACTTCTTGTAATACTTTATTTTTTAATTTTTAAAACATAACATTCATTCTTTTTAAACAATAAAATGTTAATAAAAATGCCTCAAGGTTTTTTAAACAGAAAGTGGCATTTAATTTATTATTTTGATGGTATATTGGTAGCTCTATGTTTAAATTTTAATTTGAATTTAAACACTAATTTAAATTTAAACTTTTAATTATGATACAAACATTATTGATTGAATGTAAATTAAAAGTTTATAAATCTTTTTTTTTTTGTTAGAAAAAAAAATATGAAGTTATTTTTAATATTTAAATTAGTTAAAACTCATATTAAATTTTAAACTATAGAATTACTAAAAATATCCTCAAAATAGTAAATTAAATGTCAATTTCAATTAAAAATCTAATAGAGGAGGCTTTTTTGTTAACATTTCATCGCTCATGGAGAACGAATGTTACATTTTAAAGATTAAGAGGCAAACTGTTACAATGGTATAATTTAGAGGGAATTTTTGTAATTAATCCTAAAAATATAGATACTTTAGATAGAATAAATACAGATATAGAATATATGCTAATGGTGAATATAATAATGGGGCCTAACAACATCATATGTTTGCTTAAATAATCTCTTTTTGTTTTTCTGGTCCAAGTTGATGTCCCCGTTAAAATCCTTTAGGCTCCCTTTGATACTGTCAGACTCACATCCATAAGGTACAGATCCATTTTGAAAACACTAGCATAAGAAACTAGAAAAAACCCTAAATACAGACAATCAAAGTATACCGTATCTAATGATAGAAAATACAAGTTCGAATGCTAGCATCTGAAGAAAAAAAAAAAAAAAAAAAAAAAAAAAAAAAAAAAAAAAAAAAAAAAAGTTTAAAAGAAGAAAAGTTTACAAGGATGGGTTACAGCAGTGTCATCAAGATTGCATTGCTATCATGGCAACAGACTCGGGTTCATGTCCATGCACCCTCAAGCGATAAATGCAAGTATGGGAAGGGCTTCCATGGTTGGAAGTGAAATCAAACCTGACTGTATCAACGATGCTAGAGCTTGCCGAGTCCAAAACATTGTAAGTCTGCGCATTGCTCTTCTCGAGGTCGTAAGTAAACTCGGCTAAAAGAAATATCCTCAGAGCATCAGATGTTGATTCTGTATTCTGCCCTTGCAGCCATCCAGAGATTCTGCAGTTCTTGGGAGCACTTGATCTGTCGAAAGCGACGCTCTGTTTCAAATTGTATGAGTTAGAACATTGACATTACTAAAATCAAGAGAAAAACACGCTTTTTTATAGGTAAAGAAAGGATATCTAATAAAAAGAGAGATGGAAAAACGGGAACGTATGTGATGTAGCAACTTGAATAGAGTATACCATGTGGCGACACCAGACAGAGCAACTACAAAAAAAACACTATATTCCGAGAAGAATAGGGAAAAAGAAAAGACAAAATCGAGCTCTTCTAATCCCCAGATGGTATTAGTTTTCAGCACAAAAACACTTTAATATTGAGACGAAAACAATTCTAAGTTCCTCGTAGAACACCATGCCCAACGGAAGCAGTAATCCAAGACAAAAATGTAAAAAAGCAAAAGAACCTATAAGCGAGCATGTACAGATGGAACAAGTTTTCAGCACAAAAACACAGAAGTGTTGATAGGAAATAAATTCTCAGGGTCTAAAGGGCCAAAGGAATTTAACTTGAATACATATGCTTCAGTCTAGCATGCATATGGAAAAAGCATAATGCTGAAATACTCTAATGACATGGCCCTCTAAACCCCTCATGCTGATTAAGTGCTGGATTTAAACCAATCTATGCTTTGCTTTGGCCAGTAAAGGGATCTGGTTAAAAAATTGCCTTTCTCAGGTAAAAATATTGTAGACAGACCCTGGGGCCCATCTGCGGCTTGCCACTTTTTTTCTCCACTTATGCTCACTAGGTCGAAGATTATTCAATTTTTCAATGTTTATAAAGACCACATTTAATTTTAGGTTATTTACAGCCTAACAGCGAATTTGGGGTAATTTTGTAATTTGTGCACCTCCTTCGGTATTATTCAGATCCATTATCCTCAAACTCCTAAAAGAGTCCAAACATGTGATCTGCTGCATCCCACGGCCTTAAATTTGTTGTGTTTAAGAGGCTTACGTGACCCACAGGTCCAATAATTTCTGATGGAACCTCCATCTTTCCCACCAATTAATTCCGAGGGGAGTATTGTACTGGAGGACTAGCCACAACAATTTCCCTGATCAATCTGAATCTTCTTATCTAACGTTCCCCACTGCCAACCCTCCCTTAGATTAGGCCTCAAAACACTAAATGATTCTTCCTACCTTCGTCCCTCCCTTCGCAAGAGAGATTTTTAATTTGTCAAACAGTTGAAACCCAATATTATCCCTAGAAATTTTATACTCCATATAACACCATCGTATGAACCTGACTCTCTCTACAGCCACAAAATCCTATCACCAGCTTCTACTAAATCAGCCTTCTATTTGCCTTCTAGATCATCATATAAGGTTGAAATTAGCCAAGAAAACCTAAAATGTGTAATACTAAAGTAAACTCAAAGGAGTAAGACAAAAGTAAACGTCGGCCGGTTGCCCCATTGCCTGACAATCGTAAGCAAAAATACTTTCTTTCTATATATTTGTTCTTCCAGATAATAAATTCATACTACAACAAGAAAGAACAATGTCGAATACGACATCAATGTTCCAGTACAGCAAAGCTACATTGATTGGAGCAAGACAAATCAAGCCTGCCGAACTAGTAGAGAAACAAAATGAAGGAAAGAAATACTTCAAACTCAAACAGATCCTTACATAACTTTGTCAGGCCTCAATTGTAAGAGTCATAGGTACACTACCCAGTTATATAGCCTTCAATCTAACTAATAGACCATCCTAACTTCAACTTACAAACAGAAAACCATCTCTGGCCATGGCTGAAATCCCGACATTTCATAAACCTTTTCAATAACTAAGAAAACTAAGACTGATATAGTCGAATATCATATAAAGCACTAGCCTCACTCCAGAAAATTGAAAACTAATCTAGAAAGTAGAAACCTTTGAATCAAATCACTAGAGGACTACTGATAATTGTCACCCGAAGAGATCAACTTCCCTGAAAACTATATTCCTATCATTATCAGTAGATTCTTGAATGAAAAATATGCAATCAAGAGATTCAACCATAATGCTAAAGCATACGGATACAAATACAAGAATTTGTAAAATGCAATGTATTTAACATGGCACTGAAAGAGAACATCACCTTAGCAACATGTTCCAAAGTAATAGCTTCTGGGATGATGGCCGTTCTCAGCTTAATCTCCACAAACCCACTGCTTCCCTTCAACGGAAAACACTGTCCCGGCTCTCCAAAACTCGGTTTCAACATCTTCTCAGCGTCATTGTGAACCCCATTTGTCGCGCCCTTCCCAAACCAATTATTTCCCTTTCCCTTCAAAAAGGGCTCCGAGTGCTTCACAACCATAGCTCCACCCGTTGCAAGAGCGTAATCCGCGCGAGCGAGCCCATCCGCTGCATGCCTCTCGATCTCCTTCAGCACCACATCCCTCGCGTAAGCCCTAATGTCATTCAAATTCGTCCCATCATCAACACCAAACTCGTCACTCCTCGCCTTCTTCAGTTCTTCATAGATTTTGTCAAACTCCTCTTTAGATATCCAATTAATATCTTTGAACTCACCAAGCGACCTCTCTAATCCTTCACTCTTAGCCTCCAACTCCTTCAATTGGCTTTCAAGAAGAACACTTTTTTCCTCAATCTTCTTTCCAACTTCTCTCAATCCTCCGACTTCGCTATCGACCTTCCGATCCACGACCTCAACCTGAACCTGAATCATCTTCGCCGTGGTCTTGACGAACTTTTCCACTTCCGCAATCCTTCCCTCGAAGTCCGACAACGCGAAGGGACCGCCTCCGTCGCTGGATCGCAAGGCGAGCCTCCTCACTATCTGAACCAATCCGACAAGAAGAACTAGAAGCACAAAGTTCTTCGTGAAGACACTGAGGACAGTCAGCCAACGCGGCTTTGGTGCCGCGACGGGCTTACGGCTCCGGCGATTCGACGGCGGCGACACGGTGGAGTTCGCGGCGGTTTTCTTGACCGGTACAGCGTCTCTGGAAGATCTTTCCAAGACGGCGTCGCCTCTGATCGAGTGATTGCTCAGATCTCTCCCGTTCGCGGCCACGGATTTATCATCCCCGGCCTTGAATTGGGGCTCCGCGGCCACTAATTCCACACTCGACTTCTTCTCCACCGCGACCACCGTTCTCCGGCGAGTCGCCGGGTTCGCCGTTATCGACACCGTCGAAGCCGACATTTTCGTTTCTCCTTTCTCTCCACAACCGCCGAATTCTGGAGATTCTGGATACGGAATTCAGAGAAGAACAGGAAGAGAAACCCTAGGAGAGAGAAAGGAGAATTAGAATCGGGAAGTGAGAAAGAAGAGATTGGAGATCTTTTGGTTTGATGAATTGGGAAGGGGAAAAACTGAAAATAAATAAGAAATTGAGAGACATAAGAGAAATGAAGGGGGAATTGAGGGACGCGACGGTTTGAGCGCTTAGGGTGCTGCGTTTAAACTTTCAATTGAATTGTGTTTGTTTTGTTGTTTTTGTGTCCAAAAATGTGTCGATATGTGATTAGCAGGAAAAAAAATAAAATGTGTAGATATGTCTGTGGTAATAGTGGCCCCATGTGGCCTAAGTCGGCTTCGTCTAGTCTCCTTCGTTTCGTGAATTTGAGTTTTTAATTTTAATTAAGATGTGATATTTTTTAAGAATTTTTAACTGTAATAAAAAAAATTAAATGTGATATTTTTTAAAAAATTTTAACTATAAAAATTTAAAACTGAAAACTCTAATCGGTAAAATGAACAAGACCCTGACGGCACCAAGGATTTTGATTCTTTGTTGTATAAAAAAAATAAAAAATAAAAAGAATGAACCCCATGTGTGCGGCTTATTTTTGAAATAGATTGCGTGCAACATTTAAAGGGGAGATTATTTTCAATTACTTACGCACAAAAAAGTAGACTATTATTATTATTATTTTTTTGCTTAAAAAGTAGATTATTATTTACTCAAAGCAAAAGAGATTATTATTTGGAGAGTGTTTCTTTTTTTTTTTTTGTGAGAATTTATTTGGAGAGTGATTTCGTTGGAACATGAACGTAAATCTTCTTGACATTGAGATTACGTGTAATTAAATTTGTATATCTTTTAAGTTATAATATTAATTGTGCGACAATTATAATTATTTTTATCATATAAAAAGTATCTAATAATTCTAATGGGAAATTTTCTTTTGAAAAAATGGAGTTTTGTTTTTTAGAAAGTGAAAGGTGAGAGTATTGATTTTATCTTAGAAAAAGAAATTAATAATTAATGGACTCACGAGTATATATTATGTATTTTACTTGTCAAAAGTTCGGATTAATAGATGATCAATAATTCAGCGTTTGGTGACATAATCATATGGGTAGCAAGACAAAATAACAATCAATATGCTTCAAAGAAAAAATAGCCATCGACATAATAAGATCCACGGGTAGAGAAAGCATGTACTTTTTTTTTTCTCTTCTCTTTTTTTTTCTTTTTCTTGTGAGGCGGTTAGAGTTTCGAGTTTAAGATCTCTTCTTAGGGCCGAAATTTGGCACCACCACTGGTTGGTCACCAACCTCCTAGCCTTTGAGATAGTGGCTGAGGTCAGGCGTGGTCAGTGGTTGATGGGTGCGACCTGGTGATGGAGGCATAGATCTTGTAAGGTGTCTTAGGGCAATTGGTACCGGAGATGGAGGCTTGACGGTAGAGGTGTAAGCTTGGGCTGCCTAGCTTGGCCCTAAAAGAGATAGGATCGGCCCAACCCGGTCCTAAGCTCTAAAAGTTTAAGACCGGCCCGGAATTTTATAAAGTATTTTCAAAAAAATCTTTAAAAATATTATGTTTGGGCCGGACCGGCCCTAAAGGAGAGAGGGTTGGCCTAGTATAGCCCTAAACTTAAAAAATTTAGGGCCGGGCCCGGGCCAACAATAGCGGGCCTCAAGTCGGCCCATTTAACCCAGCCTAAATTTGCAGCTTTATTTGATGGCTTTTGTTGGTGCGAGAGCGGGAGGTTGTTGGTGGATATGTAGCGCAAGGGCATCGTTCGGGTTATTTTTTCTATTCAGTTTCATCGGTGGCGGTTGCGCTTCTGCTACAGCGGCTCTGCTGAGATCCATTTTTTTGGCATGCATACACTGGTTGTTTGCTTGTCATCGACATCTATTCCTACATGGTTGGGGCTGTTTGTAGGTTTTATAGTGTTTTCTTAATTTTAATAAATGATTTATTTTCACTAAGTTTATGTATTGTAATAAATGAGGGGATTTTCCCACATTTCGATTTTGTTTATATGTCTCATCTGTCTGAGTTAGTTATCGACGGTGTATGTGTTTGCTTACACTTAGATTTTTTCCTAGACTTTGTCACTTGTGTCCCCATTATTAAGGGTTTGGTCTCAGTCGACTGGTTTTATCTATGAACTATAGTGGTTCTTATTAACGAGCTTTGGTCGCGCTCGATTTTGTTTGTGCGCAAATCTTTCTCCCTTGAATCTCGACACTTGTGTTCGTCTTTATGCTTCATCCATCTTCACTGGTGAATCCAGTTAATGTCTATGGTTGTATAATTTGTTAATTTATTAATGAAATTTTTCATTAAAAAAAAGAAAAGAAAAAGAGAGAGCATATTCCATAAGTATCAATTCAAAACTACAGTAAATATATGATAGGATCATAAATAATAATCCACTCGAGAATTAATGATAATGAACAATAAAAAGTAATAAGAAAGATTTTTAAAACCCTCTATATTAGAATAAGAGAAAGAATCAAAAATCTTTCTCTTGTTCTAATTAAGAATATTTTCGTGGATTATAAACCATAAGAAGTAATTACATCCACGGACCAGCTTGAAATTGTTACTTAGAAGTTAGATTCCTCTTAACATCTCTATAATATAAAAGTGTGGCTTTGATTTTTAGTGGAATAAATCAAAGTTAAGTATGTAAATTCAATTTAATTAAGAGTTAATTAAATTAAAATTGTTCTTCTCCTTTCCACAATCATTAGTGTGTGGGTATTGTCAGACCTTATTAGTTATGAATTTCTTTAGCGTAAAAATAGAGTGCTTAGAAATTCCAAATGGAGACCAAAAACATCTGACACTACCCATTAATGGTCTGTTTATAGTGCAAGGATTTAACTGAAGAAAAACTTTCGCATTCTTTGACCAACTGAAAAATCGCCCTCGCAACGTCACTACTCTTGATTCGCCGCCACCAACGCCGCCGCGTATATGAAGAAATAATTCATTAGATTGTGAAACATGACAGATTATGGTCCACAGCCGACGCTGAAGATCAACGTCAGAAACCGGAGGCCATCAATTATTTTTTAGTCGAAAGTAAACAAACAATTTGGTAAATTATGAAGAGAAAATCTGCCAGATTATTCTCATGCAAACGACGTCGAAGATCGGAAGCGGTCAATCTATTTTAGTTGAAAGTAAAATATAATTTGGTAGATCATGAAGAGTAATATGCCAAATTATGACCAACAACAACCGACGTTGAGGTCAGAGACAGTCTGTCATATTTTATTGAAAATAGAAATATAATATCGCAGATGATAAAACATAATTTGGCAGATTATAGTCAGCAGTTGGCGACCAACTACCGACACTGAAGTTGTAGACAACTTATCATTTTTTGTTGAAAATAGAAAATAATTTGCTAGATTAAGAAACATAATCTGATAGATTATGACCGGCGGTTGGCAACTGGTGACCCGCGAGCAACGGCGGAGATTTTGTCGTCCGGCGACATATGGTAATTTACTAGTATTAATCTTATAGATTACTTTTTTGGCCATTGGAGTAATTTTAGAAAGATAAATTTTTAAGTTTAACTATTTTTTTTCAACTCAATTATTTATGATACTATCCAAAATTTTAATGTAACTACAGAAAATAACCTACAGGTTATGAACAGATAACCTACAGATTACAAAAAATAACTTATAGATTATAAAAAAATAATTTATAAGTTATTAGTGACATGAGATAAATTTACGATAATGACGGAAATAAAATAACGTTATTTTAGTGATCGCATTTTTAGTTCTCTCTCTGATATCTATATGTTGGACCTTTGACAGTTCTAATGTAAAAGAGTAGAAATTAAGGAGCCAATGTTTGAGGATCAAACATCACGGGTTGGCTTTTTAAAGGCGTGTTTGTCTGCCGAAAGAAAACATAACTAGTAAACTGTAGAAGGCCTAAAAGCCCAATAAACAATTATGGCATCAGATGACCAAGCCCAAAGGACATGCATCTGACATCACAACGCCTTTCGGCTTTTGCGGTATCACGGTGCTTGATCCAATTATGACAAATTGTGAAAAAGGTGACCAGCTCTCAAAATTGTGTTTGAAATTGATTTCATTTTTATTTTTTATTTTTTTTGAGAAAAAAATAAAAATATTTTTAAAATGACGTTTGACGCAATAAAAATAAAAAATAAAAATAAAAATAATTTTTTAGTTTAGTGTAAAATGAGAGATAAATAAAAAATAATTTTTAGTCGTTTTTTATTTTTTATTTTCGTTTTCTCCTCTCTGAGTAGAGAGAGAGAAAGAGAGACATTAATGAATTTTTTATACTGAAAATAATCTCTTGATAAAACTACCAAATATATTTTTAAAAATGATTTATGTCTGAGATTGAAAACGTTTTCATTTTCATTTTCATACAAAAAATAAAATCATTTTAGAACAAGTTTCAAACGCATCCCAAATATCTACATCTTTATAGCAACGAATAATTTGTTTGGTATTAAATAACTTCAATTCACCTGATAAATGTTTCCATCTCAGCAGAAGCATGATGGAAAGTTTCTGAAAAAGAAAATTAAAAAAAAAAAGAGTACTTCATCAGGATCATTTAATTACAATAGAGACTTTTTGTTATCTACACAAATAGTCTTCAATTATAATGAGGTAAAGAAAGTGTTAATATATATAAGCTCAAAATAAATAAATAAAGAACAAATTCAATTTTCAACCTTTTTAAGTTCTATAATGTTGTGACCTTCCATAGCAATTATGTTATTTGTCCACGATCAAGAGACTTTGAAAAGGCTATTTTTCTCCAATGTCATACTTACAAAATTTCCAGGGGCTAAAAACGAGGGGTAGACAACAGAAAGTGTGGCAAAAAGAAAGAGGGACTACAGAAAGTGTGGCAAAAAGAAAGAGGGGTAGACAACAGAAAGTGTGGCAAAAAGAAAGAGGGACTACATAAAGTGTGGCAAAAAGAAAGAGGGGTAGACTACAGAAAGTGTGGAACATTTTAATTTTTATGAAAGCTGTGTATAGCCAAACTATAGACTTTTCTTCTGTTTTCCATTTTGACAGTTAATTAGTGCGGATTATTCAACAATTGGAATTTAATTTATTTACATTTTTGGATTTTCATTTGTTTATTTTGTTGAGTCTTGAGACTCGAAGCAAACGAGACCTATCTCTAAAATATTAATTATGTGCTCAAACTTTAATTTCTAAAATGTTTAAATTTTCTTAAATCTCGAATAAATTTTCCATTTAGTCACTAACTCCAGTTTTGTAATTCTATTGATAAATTCATTGAATTTTTCTATTAAGTCAACCAGGGCTCTTTATAGGCTACAGCTCTACCTTAATGTATGTGACCATATAAATTAATAATGATGAATGTCTCCTTAATATTCATTTTTCTCTTTCTTTCTTTTTTTTTTCTTTTTGAGAAAATTGGTACATCTTACAACTTTTTTGTGGGTCAAATTTATGTGACACTTTTTTTTTTTTACCTTACTAGTCCATTTATGTGGAACATATCCAAAACTCTAAGGGGTTGTTCTTTTACGCCCCGTTCATTTCGCTGATTTGAGTTTAGAATTCGAGTTTTGCTACAGTAAAAAGCTCTCACAAACAATCACATCTAACTTTTTTGCTACAGTAAAAAGCTCTCACATAAAATCATATCTCAAATCGAATTAAAAACTCGAATCAACGAACTAAACGGGCCCTTTGAGTGTAACTTGAGTGTAATTTTTTAGTTGAATTTGAGTTATAACTTGAGTTGAAGTTGTAACTTGAATAAAGTTGAGTAAAGTTGAATAAAATTGAAACTTAAAAGAACCTGAACTTAAATAAAATTAAAACTCGAGTTGTCTTTTTTTTTAGTTTTTTGGACAAAAGAACATGCCCTAAATATTCATGGAATAATAAATCCCAAGGTGGTTCTTTTTTTTTTTTTTTGGTATTCTTCAAAATATTTTCCCATTTGATGCACGCAGTACTTGTTCACAAGAGAAATAGTCACTCCTATGTATCTAGTTAACCAGTTCCATTTGGTTTTGATTTCTTTGTTGTATATATCATATAATGAATATTATGTAGTATCAAATTTTGAAACGTATCTCTATGATTTTTTCCTACATTTTATTGCAAGCACAAAACTCCAACTTTGCAAGTATTAGATCTCTTAATTAATTAAATTAAATTATCAAATATTTACAACCTGTCAAAACCTTTGTTTTGGCAATTGGCAAGGAAACAAAAGGACTCGCAGGAAATAATGTGATCAGGAGAGAGAAAGGAAAATGAGGTTTCAGGAACATGTTATAGGATCAGGCCAAAAAGCAGGAAAAACATTCAATTTAAATGAGCCATGTGGTTCTTGACTTCTTGTTCTTGATAATAATTAATTCAAGGACAAAAACAATAAACAACAATATATAGCGCAGAATAAAAAAAACCAACCATAATTTGAGCCTCATGAAATGGAAAAGCAATTGTCACATGCCATGTATAGTTTTTATGCCATTGTGTGTACTAATAGAAACACGGTTTTTGTTCAAAAAATAAACATAAAAACGCAAGAGTCGTGCGTTCAATTATTAATATATATACGGGTTTTTAATAGTTATATTAATTTCATCGTAGTATATAAATGAGTTTTTAATAGTTATATTAATCCCACCGTGGTTACTTAGTAAAAATGAAAATCTGATGATGTAACGTGTTAAATATTCAAGTTATTAATTGTCATAAATTTTTTTATCAACTATTTAAATATAATTGTAACATTAGTAAAATAATTATACCCATTAATAAATAAATATTAAAAATAATCATTAAACTACACCCATATATATAATTGAACCACCAAAGGTTCAACAGAAATGAATTGGAATAAATAGTCGATCGATATCTTAAATTTATTATAACAGCTATAACGCGTGTCCGTGTAGCAAAATTACATTAACGTTGCATCTAACTTGGTAATTTCACATAATTATATGCGCTGGTGGGTATTATTTATCGAATGGTCTATTCTAAGCTGTGGGGTTTCCTTGTCATGGCTGCTGATTATATATATTATATATAATATATATAAATAAGAATAATGCCGTCTCAAATTTTAATTCTTATCATGTGGACATAATAAATTGTTATTTTTATAATTTTTTTTTTTAGGAGATCATTTTTACAATATTAATAAATATTATCACGTCAATTAATAATAAAAATATGACAACTTAAATGTGATATTTGTTAATATATAAAAGTTGAGATTGAGTTAATCAGTGTCCCAAGCATTACAATGGTCTTGTTTATTTCACTTATTCAAATTTTTAATTTTAATTTTTTTTACAGTTAAAAGCTCTCAAAAAATGTCACATTTAACATTTTTTACTACAGTTAAAAACTCTTAAAAAATATCACATCTCAACTCAAATTGAATATTCGAATATATGCAAAGTCTTAGGCCTCGTTCATTTCACTGATTCGAGTTTTCAGTTTTAAGTTTCTACAGTAAAAAGCTCTCGGAAAATGTCACATCTAACTTTTTTTACTACAGTAAAAAACTCTTAAAAAATGTCACATCTCAACTCGAATCCTTAAAGTGAAAAAGGCTTAGTATAAAATATATATCATCTCTCCTCTGCCTAAATTGACTTGTTATGATTCGTCATATTACGGCGGACAAGCATTTTGATTCCGCACTGGCTGACGTAGAATAAAAAAGACAAACCAAATTTTGTCGCTAGCTTTCTATACGTACCGCAAGAGAAATTGTTTTGATATTCTGCTTTCTTGCAAGCACAGAATTAAAGCGTATTACTCTTCAAACATCGATCTCCATAACAAATACTCCGATATCTAGAGAGATAATCAAGTGAAAGCAAAAAAAAAAAAAAAACATGGGAGGAGAAGATAATGAGATAAGAGAGAGGCTGCTGATTAAGAAGGAATACTTCCCAAATTGCCCAGGCTGCAGGGTTGAGCAGTACAAGGATTTGCAGCGCGGTTTCCCCATTCGGGACCTTATTCGCATATGGATGATTGTGCTCGCTTCAGGTAATTATTAAGTTTCTACACATCTTATTAATTATATGTTTATTGGTTCATATATTCGAACAGAAAGTACGCATAAAACAAACATGTTGTTAAATATAGTTTTATATTGTGTGTGTATATATATATATATATATATATATATATCATGTATTGATTGATTAGAACCAGAAAAAAAAAAAAAAAAAAAAACTGCTCCGTCCGTCTTCTACATCCTCTTTCATTTATTGGACAAACTTGCTGAGGATTAATGCACTGTATCTCGGCTATTTTCTTGTTGGATTTAAGTCACTACACACACATATATTTATATATAAGGGCATGCCGGAGAACCCGGTGCACGGCCGATAAAGGTATAGCCGTACTCTCTCAGGTCCGTATCCATTCATCAAAATAACAATAACAATAATAATAATAGTGAATTAAAAATTAATAATAATAATAAATCTCTCTTAGGATCAAAACTTCAAATTACGAGAATAAGAGCAGTAGTGGGCTATTATGAAATGATGATCCCGGGCCTACCCATTTTGATAATTTCTATTTTAATTAGATTTATTTTAAGAAAATAGTAGAAAATAGGTCAATATAAAAACTTTAAAAAAGTATATAAGTTAATTTTTAATTATAAAAATTAATAGGTCATAACTTGTCAAGTTATAGTTCATAACCAGATAAGTTATGGACAAACTTGTCAAGTTATGGTTCATAGCCAGACAAATTATGGATAAAAATCATGAATAACTTGTCAAGTTATGGTTCATAACCAGACAAGTTATAGACGAAAATAATAATTTAGCATATTTATTAACTTATGTAAACTATTGACCTATTAATTTTAATTTATCTTAAATCTTGACCTATTTCTCTCTTTCTCTCTTTATTTTATTCCTTTTTTTTTTTTTTTCATTTGTTCGGATGTGAAAACATTTTTTTTAAGAATAATGCTGTTTAGAATTTAGCGTACGTGTTCACATGTATACCAATACTATTATTCTTATTAATTTATTAAAGAACCAATTTTGACGGTGATTTGAAGAAACAGCACGAGGTTCATTTATGCATAAAGCTAAATATATGTACATGGCCGCTAGTGGAATGAAAACAAATGTTTTCTTTTTCGTACTTTATTTTTTGCTACTCTTTTTCATATCTTATTTAAATTATGATATTCTATTAAAAACTCAAACATCATAATACACACACACACACACTCACATATATATATATATATATGTGTGTATTAGTTATATAATATATATATATATATTACTTCCATCTCTGATTATGATCTCTTTTTCCTTCCCTCTCTTTTGGTAATTATGTCTTTCCAGCTCTTCCAATATCATCTCTCTTTCCGTTCCTCTATTTCATGGTGAGTGTCCCATCACAATTAATCTCGCGCCTTCTTTGTGCTGAAATAATTTGTTTTGTTTAGATTTTTAATCTGCGGATTGGTTTACTTGTCGTTTTCCGGCTGTGATGAGTTATTCCTTTAATCTTGCTGACATCACTTTTTTTTACATTTTTTTTTTGTCATTAAATTCTATTGTCATAATATATTATTATTTTTAAAAAATAAAATAATAAAATTTACGTTTAAAAAATAAATAATAAAATTTACGTATTAAATAATAAATATAATAATAATAAAAAAGTGATAAAAAAAATAATATTAACATTTTTCTGTTAATGTGATAATGGTTACAAGTCCTTTTTGGGTCTTCACATAGTTAATTAATAACGACAATGACTTGGCCTACTTTTTTTTAGGCCACGTTCATTTCACCGATTTTAGTTTATAATTTGAGTTTTGTTATAGTAAAAAATTATCAGAAACAGTCACATTTAACTTTTTTATTACAGTAAAAAATTCTCATAAAAAATTAAATCTCAACTTAAATTAAAAACTCGAATCAACGAACTAAACAGATGCGGACTTTGATGGCATGAATCACTGATGTTTCATCTACCACAATTATTAATTCGGCCAGTGTTGTCGTTTTAATTGGACAGATCGATTTGCTGTATTTTGCTTTGGTGTATTGACAATAGTTGACGCGGGAGAATGTTTAAAAGATTTTTTTTCTCTCTCTGAATGTTAAAAGTATTTAGAACATCTCTAAAGCACTCTTTAAATTTTAGTTAAATTTTACTTAAAATAGCTAACAGATTAATTTAGTCAGTAATTTTTGAGTGATACATTCTAACTTTTTCTTTATTTTAATTAAGCATAGATTGTTTGTATATTTATTGAGTTTAAAAATATAAATAATTTTATTGATTTTAAAAAGAATCTTTACATTTATTACGGTTTAAAAGAATAAAATAATACTAAAAATTAAATGGCTAGTTCCTTATTCCTAATTATATTTAACTAGTGTGAAATAGATTCTTCAAAATAACTAATCATTTAGTTAATAGTTAGAGCGGAGAAAATCTAAATTTTAGCTTAATCTTAACTATTTTAACTAGTATTGTTAGAATTGCTCTTAATATATGTTGATGTTGTTGATCTCTTCATCATAATATTCGGCCAGAAAATATAGAAGCATAGAAATCAACTGATGATGATGATGTCATCATAGGAAAATACATAATTAAAAGAAATTGTTTTATATCCGATGGAGTTTAACCCCATAAATACAAAGAGATAAGTCCCACAAAATGAGACTCACTTGGACCCTACAAGTGAGACTTGCTTTTGTATGGGACACATAATAAAGTGCTCATAAATAAATAGAGATGTAGGACTTAACTAGCTGACGAGATATAAGTGACAATTATTGAACGAGACCAACCCAATTCCATTCACTTAAAAGCTCGTGTAAGATGTTAGAAGCATACACCTACTCACTTAAAAATCTATTTGCACGCATGCATACACATACATACATACATATATATATAATTATCTTAATGAATCTGTTTCGAAAACATAGGCGCGTTTGAAATTTATTTCAAAATGATTTCATTTTTTGTATAAAAATAAAAATGAAAACGTTTTCAATCTCTGACAGAAATCATTTTTGAAAATGCGTTTGATAGTTTTATCAAGAGATTATTTTGAGTATAAAAAAATTCATTAATGTCTCTCTTTCTCTCTCTTCGCTCGAGAGAGGAGAAAACGAAAATAAAAAATGAAAAACGACTAAAAGTCATTTTTCATTTCTCTCATTTTATACTAAACCAAAAAATCGTTTTCATTTTCGTTTTTTATTTTTATTGCGCCGAACGCCGTTTTGGACACGTTTTCATTTTTTCTTTCTCAAAAAACGTAAAAAACAAAAACATGATCAATTCCAAACACGACCATAATTTTTTTATATCCTTGTATAATATTGTTTGCTGATATGTGCAATACTCAATTTGTTTCGGCATAACATTCAAAAAAATATAGTTTAATATATATAATATTGAGTGTTACACTTATGTGTTACGAATGGGTGGGCAATAAGAAAACGTGACAATTACTGGACAATACAAATGCGACTTAATTAAGAGTTTATATACATAATTGTATATTTATATATATTTGTATATATATGTGTGTACACACAAATGTATACTACATCTTATAAATTAATTTGCACATGCATATGGCATATTCCTGATCGGTCATATGGATTGAATTTCCATTAAAGTATCAGTGAATATGCAATGTCATTGCTCATGTCATGGCTAGACAAAGAATCAAAGATTAGGTATATTAAGGGCCCGTTTAGTTCGCTGATTTGATTTTTTAATTTGAATTAAAATGTGATATTATATGAGTTTTTTTACTGTCGCAAAAAAGTTAAACGTGATTATTTTTGAGAGTTTTTTACTGTAATACAATTCAAATTCTAAACTCGAATCGGTAAAATAAACGAAGCCTAAAATTAATACATATTTATATATGTGTATGTGTTTTGGACAGCATATATTTGTGGTCCTTTGTATGTTTGGTAGGAAAGAAAAGTAGAAGAAAGGAAGAAGGTGGATGGATTTTGGGAGGAAAAATGAAAATGTAGGTTGTTTGGTAAGAGAGAAAAGAGAAAGGAAGAGAAAATGGAGTGAAAAATAATGCATGTGGGGCCCACTATTTTTTTTTCTTTTCACAAGTGGGCAGAAAATGGGATGAAAAATGGGGACAACTCATTAAAGTGAGTAAAGTTACTAAACTACCATTTTCTCCATCAATATCTAAATAAAAAATTTAAGGGTATAAAAGTAATTTACAAGTAAGATTTTTTCTTTCCTCCTAATTTAACTTCCAATACCAAACAAGTGAAAGTAAGCTCATTTTCTTTCCATCTTCTCATACCAAACAACATAAAAGAAAATCAATTTTCTTTCCATCATTATTATTTTCCATCACTTCTATATTTTCTTTCTATCATATTTTCTTTTCTTCCTACCAAACATAGCAGTAACATGCGGATGGAAAATGCAGATGGTGTCAGTACATGGTACTATAAATAATTGACGAGCTTAATGAACTTTAATATCCAAAAACATTGAATATTAGCCCATGTTGTTACATATTTATGTTTTTTCTTTTTTAGTCATTAGGAAAAAAAAAAAAAAATCTTCGGTTATCCATAGTATCTCAAATATTATGACATAAAAACCTTGTACTTATATTTCCGTGCTAATTACTTTTCCAGATTAGGGATTTGAACATAGCAAAAAGAGAGGAGGATATTGGCTACTATGCTGGTTATATAGGTACGTAATTAATTTTGGTTTCATTAAAATTTTTTATTGTTTTTATTCCGTATTTTCTTTCATAAGAAATTAATGGTTAATTCTAACAGATTTAAAAATCTTATTGAAGGCTCATCATATATGTTTGGCAGAGCTCTGACATCGGTGTTTTGGGGAATAGTGGCTGATCGTTATGGTAGAAAACCCGTCATATTAATAGGGACGATCACAGTGTAATAATTCATTTTTAATTGTGCTACGGTCCTAATTTTTGTTAAGAGTTTTTTTTTTTTTTTAATCAACAATATCTAGTTTTCCTATTTTTACTCATAGAATTGATATTTAATATTAAAGATATATATAATTACTTACGTAAATACATATTAGTAAGTAATAACAACTCATTACGTGTTGGCACAAACTAAAAAAAATTAGGATCCCAGCATTATTAATTCATTTTATTTAACAGTACATATATATTTTTTTTAATTAAGGGAAATTTGATAGTGATCTTAGTGATATCTCTCAGGGTTATTTTCAACACGCTCTTTGGACTTAGTTTGAACTTTTGGATGGCCCTCACCACAAGGTTTCTTCTTGGAAGTCTGAATGGTCTACTTGGACCTATAAGGTACTATTGCACTCTTTCGTTCATTTCACTAATTTAAGTTTAAAATTTGAGTTTTGTTATAGTAAAAAGCTCTCAGAAACAGTCATATTTAACGTTTTTACTACAGTAAAAAGCTCTTAGAAACAGTCATATCTAACTTTTTTACTACAGTAAAAAGATCTCATAAACAGTAATATTTAATTTTTTTACTACAGTAAAAAATTCTCACATAAAGTCACGTCTCAACTCGAATTAAAAACTTCAATTAACGAACTAAACAGATCCTTAATATATGCAGAGATATGTTTGGAAGTTCAAATTACTATTATTTTATAACTTTTGATTATTAACAGTATCCAATAACTTTTATAGTAATATGTTTTTCAAAAAAAAAAAAAAAAAAAAAAAAAAAATTTAAAAAAAAAAAAAAAAAAAAAAAAAAAACTTTAACAACAACACTGATACATCTGCTGGATCAACTACTAACTATGAAGATTGATTTCAAATAAAGTTAATAGTTTAATAAATTTAAGTTTGAATTGAATGTCTGAAGATGTATTTGTAGGTTTTGACAACTTGTCTCATAACTGTTATAATAACAGATCTCATTTTAATGTTGGTACTTGTGTAAAATCAGTGATAAAAAAACACATTTAGCAAAATATTTCAACACGTCAATTACACTGTAATACAAATTTCTTAGAGTCCGTTTGAAGGATATGTTCGTAGTACCTCCAAAATGGTTCAAAGGTGTTATCTATTACAAAAAATTTGAATTTAAAAAAAATTCTAGACTACATTGTTTTCTCTTATAAAATTTAATTTTGGTTACCTTCCAAACAAGCTCTTAATTTTCTAACTCTCAATTCCATAAGTCTGAAGTAAATTTGATAAAATGGAACACAATGCGGCAGTTTAATTTGTAAGTTAGGAGACAAATTATCAAAATTAAAAGTTGAGAAGATAATTGTCAAAACCTTACAAATTCAGAAGGCAAATGTTTAAATATTATTATTGACCGTTAATTTATTTTATTTTGAAACGATTTTAAGCAAATATATTTTGAAATGATTTAAGTAAATAGTATATTTATTGGTAAATATTTATTCACCTATCATAAGTAATTTATTTATAGATAAATACTCTACTTAAATAATTTATTTACATCAGATAAATAAATTATTTACCAATAAATATACTGTTTACTTTAATCGTTTCAAAAATATGTTTTTTACTTCAAAAATGTTTTAAAAATTTTATGATGTTTGCCTCTTTTTTTTCAAAAAATAAACCATAATTATCTTAAGCTTATGGTTTAGGCTTACAGTTTGGAATATTCGTGCTTTTGGAAAAAGACCTTTTTTTTTTTTGCTTTACACTTTTACTCATAAAAAAAAAAGCCAAATGTAATGTAAAGATTATGTTTTTCATAATTAGTATAACTGTATTAGAGTATATTAGTACTTGTTTTGCGAACCACTATGGATCATATGATGACAAAAACTTTATATTAAATAAACTAAATAGAGGATGCTGTCTTTATTTTCTTCTAGCAATTTTTCTAGTAGAAACTATCTTCTTTTGTCATCGTTATGCATAGCTATTTAAATTATTAGATTGATTTTGAAACATTGTGATCTATAAATGTATTTTCATTCTGTACACTTATAAATTAGACTGTTAAAAATTTTTAATCTAACAGTTAAAAATTTTAAATTCTATCGTAGAATTTTCCTATCTTTTAGGATATCTTTTTTTATAGCACGTATTAAAATATTTTGTACATAGCAATTATTTATCTTTTCTTTAAGTATCTTAATTTTTGTGGTATGACTAATTTATTAGCTTGAATGATATAACCAGGCCTATGCATGTGAAATATTCCGGGAGGAACGCCAAGCTTTAGGACTGTCAGCGGTGAGACTAATTAATTAACTTCAAATGTTCCTGAAAAAAAAAAAAAAAAGAAGAAAGTTCTTAACGTTAAATACTTTTGAAACAATTATTCACATATAATATATTTATTTTTGGTACGGTACATATGTCAATATATCTTACCATAGAAGACGCTTGTTTTCAGGTGAGTACAGCGTGGGGCATTGGATTGGTCGTTGGCCCAGCCATGGGAGGCTTCTTAGCTCAGGTACAGTCTCTCTCTCTCTCTCTCTCTCTCTCTCTCTCTCTCTCTCTCTCTCTCTCTCTCTCCGTTAAAAGATCAACTCTTATTCATAATTAATTACAAAATACATACAACATAAATTATGGCAAATAGTGTGAGTTTACTATATGTATTATAATATATGTACGACTGATTATTGTTTTGATACTTTGAAGACGTTTGGTTCATGGATTAGAATCATGTGATTAGAACTATTTTTGATTTACGTGTATTTTTTGTGAGGAAAAACACTGTAACGAACCATGAACCATGGTTCAAATCATGATTTGAATCCTCCAACCAAACATCCCCTTTATTTTAGCTAATCATTTATCCAATAAAAAAATGCAGGAAAATAACCTTTTTTTAATCATTGTTTTAATAAATTCTTAAGATTTTTTTAACTCGAAAAATGACTATTTGAAAAATTAGTCAATCAATAATGTACTAAGTAACTCATTTACTTGGTAGTTAATCATTTATATTGATTTGATCTCATTGACCAATCACTGACTATTTTTTCTTATGACAAAAAGACATTTCAAAATGGACCGTATGCACCTCAGTCAAAAGAAAATTGACTCTGTTCATTTCACCGATTCGAATTTAAAATTCGAGTTTTACTACAGTAAAAAGCTCTCAGAAACAGTCACATCTAACTTTTTTACTACAGTAAAAAACTCTCACAAGTCACGTCTCAACTAGAATTAAAAACTTGAATTAGCGAACTAAACGAGCCCTAAAAACTTACGTACGACTACGAAAAATATTTTCCATATTGCTAGATACTCGCATGAAAATTTAAATACATATGACGTCCTTAGCTCATTATCAAAGTATATCTATGTTCCTCGATGACCAATCATGCATTTACCCAAGTACTTTGCATATATATATATATATATATATATATATATATATATATATATATATATATATATATATATATATATATATATATATATATATATATATATATATATATATATATATATATATATATATATATATATATATATATATATATATATATATATATATATATATATATATATATATATATATATATATATATATATATATATATATATATATATATATATATATATATATATATATATATATATATATATATATATATATATATATATATATATATATATATATATATATATATATATATATATATATATATATATATATATATATATATATATATATATATATATATATATATATATATATATATATATATATATATATATATATATATATATATATATATATATATATATATATATATATATATATATATATATATATATATATATATATATATATATATATATATATATATATATATATATATATATATATATATATATATATATATATATATATATATATATATATATATATATATATATATATATATATATATATATATATATATATATATATATATATATATATATATATATATATATATATATATATATATATATATATATATATATATATATATATATATATATATATATATATATATATATATATATATATATATATATATATATATATATATATATATATATATATATATATATATATATATATATATATATATATATATATATATATATATATATATATATATATATATATATATATATATATATATATATATATATATATATATATATATATATATATATATATATATATATATATATATATATATATATATATATATATATATATATATATATATATATATATATATATATATATATATATATATATATATATATATATATATATATATATATATATATATATATATATATATATATATATATATATATATATATATATATATATATATATATATATATATATATATATATATATATATATATATATATATATATATATATATATATATATATATATATATATATATATATATATATATATATATATATATATATATATATATATATATATATATATATATATATATATATATATATATATATATATATATATATATATATATATATATATATATATATATATATATATATATATATATATATATATATATATATATATATATATATATATATATATATATATATATATATATATATATATATATATATATATATATATATATATATATATATATATATATATATATATATATATATATATATATATATATATATATATATATATATATATATATATATATATATATATATATATATATATATATATATATATATATATATATATATATATATATATATATATATATATATATATATATATATATATATATATATATATATATATATATATATATATATATATATATATATATATATATATATATATATATATATATATATATATATATATATATATATATATATATATATATATATATATATATATATATATATATATATATATATATATATATATATATATATATATATATATATATATATATATATATATATATATATATATATATATATATATATATATATATATATATATATATATATATATATATATATATATATATATATATATATATATATATATATATATATATATATATATATATATATATATATATATATATATATATATATATATATATATATATATATATATATATATATATATATATATATATATATATATATATATATATATATATATATATATATATATATATATATATATATATATATATATATATATATATATATATATATATATATATATATATATATATATATATATATATATATATATATATATATATATATATATATATATATATATATATATATATATATATATATATATATATATATATATATATATATATATATATATATATATATATATATATATATATATATATATATATATATATATATATATATATATATATATATATATATATATATATATATATATATATATATATATATATATATATATATATATATATATATATATATATATATATATATATATATATATATATATATATATATATATATATATATATATATATATATATATATATATATATATATATATATATATATATATATATATATATATATATATATATATATATATATATATATATATATATATATATATATATATATATATATATATATATATATATATATATATATATATATATATATATATATATATATATATATATATATATATATATATATATATATATATATATATATATATATATATATATATATATATATATATATATATATATATATATATATATATATATATATATATATATATATATATATATATATATATATATATATATATATATATATATATATATATATATATATATATATATATATATATATATATATAT